CGGATTCGCAGCCATACAAGTCTTTTATATCTACATTATCTACATAATTCTAGCACAAAATTTCATACCCAAGAGATGTTCCAGAATCAGCCATTCCTTGATCGAACCTGGCCTTTTTCCCAGAGTTTTCATCAATTTCCGATAGTCTAAAACGCTCATTCAGGCTGCGAATGATGGACAATGAATTCTCGGCATCCGTAATATGAACACCTAGTTAGCTGTTGACACTGTTTCGCTTTTGTGACTCAATTACCAACCAATCAAAACTAATCGAAATCTCAAGTAGAAGCAAACGCACCTTCTCTTCATGGTCGAACGACTCCGAGGGTGATCCAATTCTAAAAACATGGATAGAAGAGAGGTACAAAAACGTAAGCAAAGCAAGGAAGCTAGACGAAGTGTGTATGGTATTAACAGGATTGTGAACATGTCTCCGTAACGATTGATTCATTTTGATCGCCCTTTAGATACAAAATTTCAGAAACATAAGACACGCGGAAGACAGTTTCTATCCAAATCTTTCATATCAAGTCAGCATACCTCAGAAAAAGGATTAGTTACCGAGTGCAATGACAACTCCATGCAATACTTACTTGCTTCATTTCCAAGGTGCAATGATGGAACAAGGCCATCATTTGCAGCCATCTGAAAAGAAAACAGCGAATTTGCTATTACTGCTTGGCATTGATGAATTTTGCACTGGGATTACGAGCTAAGAAGAAGAAAAGAACAAAAAATAAAGCTAACCGAAAAATGACGGAAGCAAATGGTTAGGCCTTCTCCATACTGGAAAGATTCATCAGCTTCAGATAGAGAGACGATCCATCGAGAATAAAGAGGGTCTTCTTAAGTAAGAAGGAGTAGTGAACCATAAAAAAAGAACTTTGGAAATATTTACGTGATTTAGGAAACGGCACACAAATCGTGTCCTCTTCGCTATATGTACAGCTGTTGACGGCACACTGCCCTAAACATAGCGCTCCAAGACGAGATAGCGAAGGGTTAATTCCCTCTACTGTCAACCGACGAAATATGTAAGGATCCTGAAGCAATAAGGAATAAGGACATTAAGAATGAACTAGCAAATCGGAAAGATTCAAAAGTTTTTTCGGAATACCTTCATAACACCTCGCGAATAGCGTTTGCCTTCAGTGAAATGCATTTCACAAATGTGAGCACCTTCTTTCAAAGGAAAATCAAACGAACTAGGAAGACCCAGTCCCATTTGCACGGCTATGCGCCATTTTCCATGATCAACACTAAGAACAAAGAAAATTAAATAAGTTCTGCTTGACTTTTTTAATATCAGTTTGCAATTTCAATCCTATTTGGATTTTGATGCTAAACTGGTGAATCGATGAAGCATCCTTACCTGTTGGCTGGAACGGAGAACATCTTCATAAGCCTCCCAGTAAAGATAGAAATATCGGAGGATTTATAACGGCAACCTGAAAGATGGAAGATTCCACAATTAACTCCTTTTGTCGTACCAAACATGGAGAGCGACAATGACAATAGACATTTCGTCTGTATATTTGAAGTAGAATCAATAACATTGCATAAAACAGACTGAATGCTCCCAAAAACTGAAAGCACATTTCACATCATGGAAGAAACTTCATACACTGGTGTGCAAAACTTAGGATCTAAGATTTGATGATCTGTGCAAAGGGCGCTTGCTTCCTTTTTTGCCCCCTTCCTCTCCAGAGAAGCTGAACCCAGTTATACACTGGTGTGCAAAACTTAAGGACGAGATGGATAAATTGACATAACTTATTAACAATTCGATGGAATTGGATGAAACTGTGCAAGCATAATGCTAGAAGCCTTACAGTCATGGGCACCGAAGTGGGCCTCATATGTCTTGCATCCGGCTTCAATCTGGAGCCAAAAGGGAGTGGCCACCCAGAACGATGGGTTTGGTGGGGCAGGACAAGAGGGAGTGTACTGAGCAGGGAGAAGTGACTGTGGAATGTAGTGGTGTTCTTGATTACATCAAGTCTCAGAGACAACACTAGGGTGACTTTACGCGAGGAAGAATCATTGGGAAACTGAAAAAAGGAAGTTGTGTGTCCAGGAGTTTTGTGTCAACCACAGCATTGTTTTTTGTGCATGAGAAGCAATGTGGACCGCAGCCACTGCTGTCCCAAGAAGAGGAGGTTGTGGGTCACGAACAACCTGCAACAGCAGGTGATTGCTACGTTTTGTAACGGACAAGAATTAACGGAGTTGCAAAAGCATTTATCACTATTGTAAGGCATGTAATCTCAGGCTAACAGTGACAGTGACCGTATAGGCATGGTCTCTCTGACCGACCAACAGTATCTGGTGTTCCTTCGAAACCCGCGCATCGGCGGGAACATTTGCTAGGTGCCGGGACATTGGCGATGGACCACCGATTTGGATGATCGCGTATTCTTCTCAGTCAAGATCAAATTGAATGTAAGTAGTGATTTTGGACTTACCCGCATGTGGCGAGAATAGGAACACGTAATGCACCCAGGACCATCGTTCAACATGATTGTTTTGATAGTCCATTCGATATGGTGTGGGGAGGCATAAAGTTGCAAGGGCGTACCAACCTCCCAACTCCTGATCGCGGAATGCTTTCTGATCGACGTTATTGTGACGCTGTACTCCTCACTTATGTGCATCTTTTCAAGGGTGCCATTTGACCTCAATTTTGATCGTATGGTGCGAGAGTATCGAGCAGCTTGGGTAGAACTCTTGGAAAGCGAGGATTTCCGGCGATTGGTGAAGCTCACCCGCTTACCCGTCAAATCTATGGAGCACGTGTGGCATGTATTCAAGGGAACACCGCACGCATCTCCCATGCCCACAACTTCGAGCAGGTATCAATCGCGTCTCAAAATAATTGCCCCCACAAGAACTGTTAGCCAACCTTGTGGCCAGTACAGAAGATGTGGCAGAGCATGCTTTGCAGCCCGTAGTGTTCATACACCCCATCACAATCAGCTCCTCTCTTTTGAGTGCCCACCATGAGTTCGAATAGCCTCACCCATCGACCGCTTAGACAGGGTACTGAAGAAAGAATTTCTCTCTAACCGCCCGTTGCACTTCGCTATTGCTTTGCACTGTACGGGCCAATTTACATTCTTGTACATTGTGCCAAATTTGATCGAGGGAATAGCTAGCACCAAATCAGGAAACTATTCTCGTCCCAACTTCACACCAGAGAGCATCCTCTACTGTGGAGCGACAAGAGCCCTGCCCGGAACAGTATAGTCAACCATCCTGGGGCACGACTGGCGGACTGTTCTGAAAACACCTGGATCAAGACGCTTCACAGTCAACTCTGTCCTCTCAGAAGACCACCACAATTTAACACGATAAAAGATATGTACCACCGAGAACATAGAAGGGGACTCTGCTCTACTCACAAAGGGATCAATCAAATGTGCTCAAACCTCCGTCAACTGCACAATTTGTCCAACGAAAAACGCTGAACGCGCCCCCTTAGCCCCTCCCCAGTAACGTCGCAGCAGTAATCCTCAAACCCGCACAAAGGTGATAACGTTAAGCTGCGAATACATTTTACTTGAGACAACCTTACAATTACGGGGTCAAATAGAAAGTAATGGAGGGCGGCTCCCCAATCTTTCTATTATAGTTGACAACAATTTTGAGAACCTTTGGTTTTTTCTTATTATCTATCCTATCTACTTATCCAGCATAGTATACATCATTATTATTAACAACATATCGCCAATGCGAGGGTGGGTATTCAGTGCCTCTCTTGTGGACTTTCATAGAGTTCTGATCGAAGGAAAATTGTAGTCCCGAATCAGTTCTCAACCCAATCTGACATCATCAAGTTCCTGTTGGTTTCCTATAGTTCCTTCGGATGACCATCTATAATACTCATTGGTGATGTGGACTGGGTGCAGTGTGCTAACAAATCCACGAGCCGCAGTAGATTTGCTCAAACGATTCGGGAGTTCTGACAGTAAAACCCAACTCCCTCTGAATTCGAACTTCCTGAGTCGTTGACAGCTTGATGGCACGCCTTCAACTTGAAAGCAAAGGAAGACAAAATCTATTTTTTCTGAGGTCGTTCGAGCCCGCCTTGCTAAGAAAATTCCTAAAAAATTGGAGACTCTCGGGCGGTCAGTTCTTTTAGCTCCGCCTTGTAGCACTAATGCGTCAACGAACGACTATCCGCTCTCCTCTCTCAATCACCTTCTGGAGAAGAAATCTCACTTGAATCACCATAAAGTCAAAATCGACATCCAATATTTCTTCGATCAGAACTCTATGAAATTCTACAAGAGAGACACTGAATACCCACCCTCGCATTGGTGATATGTTGGTAATAATGGTGATGTATACTATGCTGAATAAATACATCAGAGAAATAAGATAAGTAATTAATCGAAAAACACCAAAGGTTCTCAAAAATTATGGACCGACCTAATACTTTTCTAGTTAATCTTCCCCGGAAAATTATTAGTAAACTATTCTTTTCTCTCGCTGAATGCATGAATCAAAAAAAAACTAACCAGGAACGTCACAGGAAATTGTACCATCCGTAGGCAGAGGCAAAACACCATTTGGCTCTAGATTATTTGAAATTAAAAAAAAACTAAGATGACCAATAACAATTCGGAATTTTTGGATACCTAATTTATCTATCTCAAGATCCTCATATCCCATTTCAGAAAGAAAGAGATAGCGACGGCGAAGTTTCGACAGCATCTCCTTGAAATGCGCTCTTACAACACAAAGTTGGAAGATAAAAGGAGCAGAGCTGTCAACAACAAACTCACTTCTCGAGAAATCGATAATTTTCCAGGAAGGTGGTATATTGGCGCTACTGGAATAGCTCCATGATCAGGTTCTGTAGAGAAATGCCGGCAGCAAACTCGAAATGGGAATGAAATCAGCTGTTCGCGTGTCGCAGTTTGAATTGGTGGCGACGATTCATCTAAGAAGATAATGTGCATGAGGTAAACAGTGTGGACTCAATTTTTTTTTCGCAAAACTAGACTTTTCACTTACCGGCTCCTTTCTCAAGGTGGTTAATGAATTTGATGATGAAGTCATTCTGACGGCTTATGTCTGACTGAAAGAATGGTAAATTGTTTAATCCTTCCGTGCCTCGCGAGGTTGGTAGTTGGAACCAGGGTCAACCTTACTGTTGGTACTTTTACGAAATTTTTTACGACCCCCCTTCATGGGCGATTTGATACGAGCCCCGGTATGTAATATTGTGCACAGACAAATCGCGAATCGCGATGTTGATCGCGTTTGAATGTGCTGATTCGCGCCACCAACGTCCGAAAATGGAGCGCGTTTGCTGACCGTAAGCAGGCGACGAACGGGATACTAAATTTTAGACGAATTTTTCTTTGCATTTCAGGTACTTTGGAAGACGGAGGCGGTTTTTGATCACCGAGGACTCAGCCATTCTGAGGGAAGCTTTTTCTTGTTCTTATATATTTGAAATGAATAAGTTATTAAGCAAGAAATAAAATTGCACAACAATTTTTGCCTTCCTCTTTCTAGGGCTATAACTTCCTTCATGTTCAGGCTTTTGCGCCAAAGTTACTTGATTTGAAAAATTCAAAATATCTCTCTCCAATCATGGCTCGAAAAGTTTCTTCGAAAGTTGAATTCAACTAAAATTAGCACGTTGTACTCTATTTCTCTTTGCCAATGCGAATTTAATCAAAACCAACAATGAGCGCGATCAATTTCGTATCCAGAATCATCCCGCATTCGAAAGCTGAGCTCATCATAGACAAACTCAGGACTCACGCTTTCAAAAAGTCTGAAGGTTGCTGGAAATTCAGCAGTTAAAAAATTGGTCCTGTTGCGAGTTTTTTTTTTTTTTGGAGGAGCATTCCTCAAACCATTCACTCGAAACCGCGGGTTTTTTAGGTTTCACTGCCTGTAACTTCTCGGAAGACCACTTTCAAGCTGATCTCAGGGTTCAGAAAGCTTCGAGCATGCGTTTGCGCTAACACTCCCTGCCATGGTGTTCCCACGCCAACTCAACCAACGCCTTGTCGCGCTTGTGATTAGCGTGATACATCCGTTGAAGAGTCCATACATTTAAGAAGCGTAAAAGAGTGGTTTATATGCATAAAATAATGCATTTTATAACTATTCACATACTCAATTTCTGTGCTGCGTTTGCTCTTTCCCTCCGTACCACTATCTATGATCAATAGGGATATTACCAAGAATCCCACTGCCGGCCACCGAGAGAGTACGACCCCCTACAAGCTCAACCAAATACGACCCCCCCCCGTTGGTACTTGCAGCAACATAATGTTGACCCTGGTTGGGACCTTTTGGTCCGACGTTTCGATTTCGTCTTCTTCAGAGATTCAATGAAAGGTTCCAACTATCGACCTCGCGTAAAAACTGAACAGTTCAACCAATAATGTTGAGGTTCCAACAAAGGATAACATGGAGACTAATGGTAAATATCTCAGAGGGCATGTCTGGAGTCGAGATTGTCCTGAAGTATATATTAAACCAGTGGTTGTCATCCACTACCAATCCCCCACAAATCTCATCAACGTTTGTCAGTGCTGGCCATGTGCCAAGACGACTGATATCCGTACCTCCTCCATACCATTGCCTTCATTACGTCCCTTACCATCCCTTATCGGCTGCTACATCTTCTGTCTGCCTCCCATCCAACCTCATTCAATTTACAAAGGTCAAATTACTCAAAAGTCAAATTAAAGTGAATGCGGAGACGCGACGGTTTTGTAACCTCAAGCATCTTATCACTTTTTATTGGCAATCACCCACAATTTGTGCCCAATCCCATCCCATACAGCATGTATGAATGCAAACGTTCCACTGTCAATGCCCCCGCTTCGCACTTACACAACTTTTTCACTAAGGTTGACGTCTGCTGAAAGACGCCAAACAGCACTGGCTAAAAAATTGGTGTTTTTCTTTGGTGATAACTGACAAATAACCTCCCTAAAAAGGGATTCAGCCAAATTGGAGAAAAACGTTGTGGTAAAAAGGTGAAGTCAAATGGCAGCGGCACCAGAACAAATGAATATTTGTGACCATGCCAAAATTGGCACCCTCATAACGAAATTCGCAAACATGGGCAAATGGCGGAAGTACGGAATTGCATTGCGATACTAACAGCTTTCGGAAAAGACTATACTGCGGTAATTTTCTCACTAATCGTAGTGAAGAACTTACCACACAAACACAAATCCATTGAATTGCGAGTTCAACTTTTGGTGGGAGTGTGCATCTCAGTTGGAGACTGTCAAATGGTCCGCCTTTGTAAACACAGCGATCAACGTAACATTTGAGCTTCCTGCGAGTAGGTTTCACCTGGAACGCCACTTGCAAATTACACACACATCATTGATGAAGCAGGCATAAAAACCAATGTTTATGTTTATAAGTGCGATAATCAATGAAATGTACCTGAGCTGCATCCACGACACATCCCAGCTTCCTTAGTTTTGACCACAATATCTGTAGGGGACGATGCAGCTTACCATCGCCATCGGTGTTATCAACAGCAAAAGAAGATGTCGGTACGGCCAATGTGGAGTCCTACATGATCAAAAAATGATGGCTTTATAATAGTGATGAATTGCAAATAACCTGGAGCTCGTCATCAATATGAAGAGAATCACCATCTCGAGAAGAATCATCTGTAGTTCCTAAACAACGACAACAGTAAAACCTCCTGAGTTTAGTTGGTAGTGCCAATTCGTACCTGAGCTTTCGTATTCTTCCTCAGGCCTGAAAAAAAGAAATGACTACTCAATTTTGGTCCCAACCTATTTAGACACTAATTTCTATTCTCTAATTCAGTTCATACCACCTTAAAAATAAATCTTTGCTGAATGGTCATGTATGTGAAGTTTAGCGAGGAGCGAGACAACGATAGAATAAACTAAATAAAAACCTACGGTGTTCGAGGAACGGCTCCTTCACAAGCATCTGCAGAAACTGAAAAAAAAGTGAAAGAAAAACTAATTTTGAAACAAATAGCAGTCACGTACGCGCTGGCTTCGACGAGAGCTCATGATCAACGGGTTCACCTTCATCTCCCATCGTGACTGAAAGCAATGTGAGAAACTGTAACACTAAACAAAAGAGAGCGTTCC